CCCAGTGTAATCTAGTGAAAATCTATTAGACTAGAAATATGAGAGGGAGAGTTTATGTTTAATCAAATCTTCATAGCGCGCGTTCAAATTTTCAGGTTAAACAATTTAGTTATATGGTAAGGTGGGTAAACTTTCCCTAATTAGTTATCTCGCGCACAAAGCTTCATTAGAAAGCCCGGTTTTACCGGGCGTAATTAACAGTCTCCCGCCCTGCCGGCGGTTTGATTGACGATATTGTTACATCGGATCGATCTATTTATGTCAACTCTACCCACGCCTAACCCTCTCTGCGTGTGCGTTTGAATTTTAGGGTAAATAAGAAAGTGGAATACATAGAGCTATGTAGTATTGTGTTGTAAATATATGTTCCTTAAGGGTGTAATGAAATTATTGTAATTTAATTAATTTCAGATTTTATAAATTCATTTCGGATTTTTTAAATGGTTATTCTTCTACTTGTTTAGTTAGGTGCATGGCAAATCTTCTACTTGTGTCTTCCTCTATGAGATACCTAAGAGACCTTATCGTTGGTGGGGAAGCTCCTACCAAGTGAGCATTTTATTCCTTTAAGAGAAATGCGTTCTAAGTGATGTCGTTGTTTGCAGGCCTATCTTTTGCCTGCTATAAAACAATAAAACGCAGATACGTAACTGTTCCCTAATGTTCCCTAAATGTGACAAAACTTTGCTCACTGGGTAGTCAGGTGCTATGGGGAATCCTCTCTGGCAATTTTCTGGGTCTTAGGAGCATCTCGCTGTCAGGTCCCACAATAGGAATTGAGCTCAAATCCAAGGAGTCAATAGAGAAAGAAAAATATGTCGTCTATTATAGATTCGGGACAACACCGGTATCAGGTCTAAGAAGAGACAAAGTTAAGGAGGTGGAAAAAATGACTAATCCTCTAGCCTCCACCTCACGGGTGCCTTAGCCAGAGACAAGCTCCTTGACTGTGAGGGGACAGACAGCTAAACCCCAACCGTGGGAGGTTGTATACCCTTGAATGAATATCTGTGGTTAGAGGAGGATATCTTGTTGCAAGGAGGTAATAGAGAAAGAGAGATACTGGTATCAGGTCTAAGGAGAGACCAAGTTAAAGAGGTGGAGAAAATGGAGACTGATCGTCCAGCTTGACACCTCAAGGGTATCTCAGCCGGAGACAAGCTTCTAGTAGGAGGTAAATGTCCACTCCTCGGAGGATAAACAGCTGTTGTCAGAGGAAAATGGGAATTACCCCCTCAACAGGAAAATCCCCATGCATGATGAGTTATAGACTGTACGATGAGGTATAGCTCAAGAAAAGGAAACACAATAGATCTTTAAGGTGGCTGTGATTAACCCCCCTTTCGCCCATTCTACATTCTATTTCTTTAAGACTATGTTTATAAAACAAAGCAAAAACTTTTTTAATGTAACTTAAATAAATAATTATAAATTAAATGAATTAATATAATTAAATATTTTAGAATTTATTTTCCTAATATAATTTTTCAAGAACTACCTACAATCCTATTGCCAACGTATTTACCCATTTCATAATATACTGTGATATGATTGACATTTATTATTTGTAGTTTTAGTTTTTACTAGGTAAACTAACAAAATAATTGCAAACAAACAAAAACCCTCTTTTGAGTTTTAATCCGCTGACCGGACTTTCTGGTGTATGGAAGACTAATAATATGGATTAGCCTTAGCAGATTAGCACATTAACCTTAGCAGCAAAAAGAAGACCTTAACTTAAAATACTTTAGGTTTTTTTAATCTATAAAGAGAAATTTAAAATACAAAATTAATATTAAATTCAACAAAAAAACTTTCAATTTGAACATAATGTAAGAAAATTATTTGACTAAAAGTGCTCAATTTATTTTCCAAATTGCACTCTTGTACGAAAAACGGTTTAGCAAAAAAAAGTAGAAAAAGGGAGTAAAGTAAAAGCTTACTTCCCTCAGGAAGTAACTTCCCAGTAAATTTCAAAAAGGTACGTTTCGAGAATCACATCGGCGGGTGATTGAGTTTGTGTCGTTAAGCGAATGTGCATTTTGGCGAGAATAAGTTCGGTAACGGGTCCGCGATGTTAGCGTGATGCATTAAACGAAATTAGGGCAATCAATTCCATTGCCCTGCCCCGTCTATGACGCAAAATGGAAATAAAGCAGTTTTTAATGTCGCAATAGCTTAACCGAAACTTTATTAGAAATGTGTTCTGTTTATTTGCTGGAGCCGTATAAAATGCAGTTTTGATAGCGATTTGCATGAAAATGCAATTAAATGTTTGGAAAAAAGACCCAGAAAACGACATTTACAGTTTACAGTGGCATACTTACACTTTAGGCGGATAACTATCACGCTCTATATTTACTTTTACTGAGCTGAAACACGTAAAAACATAGATATAACGTTCATGGACATTATGTCAACACCCTCCTTAATTGTGTAACGTTTTTAGTTCGTTACATGTCTTTGTATATGATATATGATGTCTGGCGTATCATCACCGGATTCCCTATCGTTCAAGCCGGATAATTTAATTGACGCACTTGGCGTAATTTTTACGTTCCATAGTCGCCAACCCTGTTATCGTTTGACACAACCCTGTTTCGCTCTGTGGAGGCGCTGTCAACATCGCTTCTGTCAACTCTCTGTGCTGTCGACTGACTTTTGCTTTTAGCGCTCTGTAGCCTAACCTAACCATCCCGGCTTTTAGAAATGGTGATTATTTAAATCTTGCTGTATAATCTGAATCAGCTGCTATTTCAAAGCAACTGGTAAAGATGAGATATTATCCTTTTAGATTCGATATTATTACTGCATATTTTTAGAGTTTTGGATGTCCCAACTTAACTTGTATTTGTATTTTTTTGGCACGTTGGCGTCCCTTTTCTTTTGTCCTCCAGAATGTTACATGAAAGAAAGGACAGTTTCTTTGTTTATTAGTGAGCCCTCGGAAGTAATTCGAGGTAGGTTCATTTTGTTTATTAGACCTTGTTTGATTTTAAACAAGAGTTTCGTATTTTTAGGGTCCAAGGTACGGACTAGTTATGGTCCAAGTTACGGACATTATCCAAGGTCCTAGTAGTGTTCCAAGGTACGGGTAGTGTCCCCATATTGCCACAGTATGGATACAGCGTAAGCCCCATGCTGCTTCGCTCCCATTTCTCAGTCTAGTCAGTAGTTACGGCTGTATTGATTCATGGTGTACTCATTCTGGCCCCTTTTGTTGTATTGGCCAACAGGATAGCCGAGAGACAGTGCAGAGATATGACCCACCTCACGCTGCTACTCTTCGAAACAGGATTGCCTCAAGAACAGCTAAGTCTAGATTTAGGTTCTGATTTTCAGTCAATTTTCAGTCTTAATTTAATGTACATTTTAAACGATATCGTACAGAATGTTTCATTACATTACGCCTTGTAATAGTATTACTTTTTTATAGATATTATTATTGCACTAACATCATATAAAAGTAATGCTACATTTCATATATTCTCTTAAACTTTACATGTCTTGTATTTTATCATAGTTGTTTTCATAGATATTTAGTACAATTCTTAACACCACTTTCGTTGACATATAACCACTATAATAATTATTAAAATTGTACAATGCTATTTACCATCACAGTCCATCATGAATAAATATAGTCATTAGTTTTAAGTAATATACAACTGCGTTTTCTTTCTCTGTACATGCCTGGCGCCCAATATCTATATTTTTTTGTTTATTGTTATTGATTAGTTTTCTCTCTAGTGAAACACCTTATCCACGACTGCTCTCCGATGAAAAGCTGCCGTTCGCAGTGGTAATGCTTATAAAAAAACGCTACAATTGGTTTTGGTAAACAATTCTCTAGCAAAAGCTCAATGCGTTTTCCAAATTTTATATATTGTGTAAAAATGGTTTTTAAGTGGAATGGATACAGCTTAAAATTCGAATTTTTTTTTGAAAATAGATTTGTGTGTCTGGAAGCATTCATTTCTTAGTCTGGCTATATTTCGTATCAATTTTTGAAAAGTTTTATGTTCATTTATACTAAATGACGTCTAGAGATTGACCTCGCCAAAATTATCATCGATGGTCATTCCCCATTCGTCTTTGATGCCGTTTTTTTAACCCAACTAAGCAAGCATTAAGAGAAAGCAAAATAATTGATGATATGACACAAAATTACTAAATTATATTATACAAAAGCTTTTAAAAAGGTTTCTTTGCACAACATTATCATCAACGCTTTTTTCCACGGGGTTCGGTAAACAAGTCACAAGCAACACCTTGATAACTTAATGTATAGATTATTATTCCCGTTTTTAAAAAAAAATACTATTCCCGTTTTTGTATTAAAATATAAATACAATTTAAAGTTAGTAGTTAGATAAGGGTTCTTCGTCTTACTAGTGTTACTTAAAACAGGCCATATCGGCGCTCATGTTTATTCAGAAAGTCGACCTTGTGTGCTGGCAAGACAAATTTAGACAGTAATTAACGTAGTATAAATTTATTTGTACTGAGCGGACTAACAAAGGAACTGTAGTGTTCCAGTTAGAGTAACAAGACCCGATTAAGAATCCATAAATATTTACTGTCGAAAACGTCCTTATGGGTGATAAATGTACGCTGTCATAATCTGAGCCGACACAATGATTAATAACGCAGCGGAAATGTCAAGGGCGTCACAACAACACAAAGCCAATCAATAAAATTCGTATTTTTGACGAAAACGTGAATCTAATTGGCTCAAATGTAGTTAACAAGGACGTCAACAAAATAATGATTCATTTAATGATAATAATTTTATAAATATAAGTTTCTTTATTGATACTCTTCAGTAAAGTGAGTCGTAAAATATCTAAGAACCTTTTATTATTTATTAATCAATTCACAAATCATATTTTAAATTCAAAGTCACAGTTTGCATTTATTTTTGCAAATAAAAAGTTATATTTTTCTTCCTCAACAGCAATGTTAAAGATTCATTATAATAATTTTCTTTTTCTTTTCAGAGAATGGGTACTGTCCATGGGGAAGAGCTACCTTATATGTTCGGTGCTCCATTAGTGGATGGCTTCAATCATTTTCCAAAGAACTATACTAGATCTGAGTTAGCTCTTTCGGAATCGTTTATAATATTCATTGCCAACTTTGCAAGAACTGGGTAAGTGTTGATATATTTTAAATACTAAATATTTTTAGCAAAATAAAAACACTAAATCACCACAATACACCAAAACACTTTTACTTTTATACTGGACGCGCGTTTCGCTAACCATGTTAGCATCATCAACAGATGATTATAATATTTGAGTTTATAATCTGTTGATGATGCTAACATGGTTAGCGAAACGCGCGTCCAGTATAAAAGTAAAAGTGTTTTGGTGTATTGTGGTGATTTAGTGTTTTTATTTTGCTGTTTAACACCAAAGGTTCCAACCCTCAACTGTAATAAATATTTTTACTTTAGATTATTGTTATATTATGCACTTTTACTACCTTTTTCAACCTATAATTTCATTTCTTTCACTTATTTCCCCCACTTATTTCCTCCACTAGTATTGTTTTCATATTTTTCTTTCTGCTAATTTTCCGCAGGTTTTTTAAATTTTACAGGAATATCAGTGTTTTGTCAATTATTGTTCTTATCAATTTCAAATGTTGTCAATTTCTGACAGAGTTTTACATTTCACACACAAAATAGATAATATATTTTTAATATTTTCTTTTTATTATTAACTAAGGTTTAAGAGAATTAACAGACATTTATTAGAATATACCGTATGATCGAAAAAAAAAAATGGTGTCCAGTTGCATGGGAAATGAACATCGATGACATTTCCCATATAAATTAACATATAAAATGACAGCGATCTTCATTCCATAGCCATCGCTGACGCCGTTTTTTCTCGATCATACGGTATTAATGATTATACAGGGTTGTTCACCACATACGACACGGAGTATTGTAGCTAAATGATTAGATTTTTACAAATTGTAAGTTTTGGGTTTGTTGAAGGACTATTAGAGCTACAATTTAAAAATATTTTTACAAGATACAGAGTGTCCCAAATAAATAAAAAATATCAAAGTTGTATTTTTTTAAATGGAACACTCTCTATATTATTACATTTTTAGTTTCTACGATTAAAATAAAGGTAAATTTGATTATGTACTGAGCGGTAACTACTTTACTTTCACTTTATATTACACTTAAACCTTGCCGTTTTTGAAATATTTTCAATTTTGTGAAATTGCAGTCAAAATTTTAAGGCTTAATTTCTCCAAGGGTATCAAAGTTTTTAATACTAAATATTTACTGAAGTTTTTTTATTTATTGATCAGTTATTATGTTGCAATAGTAAAAATTATACTACCTTATACAGAGTGTCTAAAATTGTATTTTAAATAATTACTAGCTTTAAACGGCAATAACTTGTTTAATTTAAATGGAACACCATGTATATTTTATGAGAATTAGATGCACAATTTAAATGTCTATCAAATTGTATTATACCATTTTTACCTATCTCTTCAAGTTTCCGTATAAAATGCATTTCCTTGTAATTTTAAATTCATTTATCAATATACCCATGGAATACTGACATTTTAGATTATTTTTAAAGATGTACCAAATTTTTAAAGAGTACAGGTACTAATATTGTCGATATAGTTTGTTTATTTCATTAAAAAATTAAAAAAAAACTGTTTAAATATTTGTTAAAGAGGACCAATTAATATGATTCCAGTATTCAAACTACATTAGTTGACCGTTTGCGTTGATTAATAATAATTGCTCCAAATACTAAAATAAAATAAGTGTGGTAAAAAGTAACATCTTAAAAATGATATTTCATTTTTTGACAAGTGCTTATTTATAACAACAGAGACATTCATTTTCATAACTTATTATTATATTGATTTTTGATTCAAATCCACATTGATTTAGAATAATTTATTAACAAACATAATTAAGTATGTAATTAATTAGTATTTGTGCGGAAATAAGGGTGGTATATTTAATTAATGGTATACGCTTTTATAAAGATTTAAATAGTTTTATTTTTGCATACAAATGGGTTAGTAATATTATCATTTTGCTAAAAACAATAATAATACTAGCCTGTACATTTTGTACATTTGTTGCTTTAAAAACAATCTAAAATGTCAATATTCCATGGGTATATTGATAAATGAGGTCTAAATTATAAGAAAATGTATTTTCTACGAAAACTTGAAGGGATAGGTAAACAGTGGTATAATACAACTTGATAGACAATTAAATTATGCATTTGATTCTTCTAAAATATACAGGGCGTTCCATTTAAATTAAACAAGTTATTGCCGTTTAAAGCTAGAAATAATTTAAAATAAATTTTTAGACACTCTGTATGAGATAGTATTATTTTTATTATTGCAACACAATAACTGATCATTAAATAGACTTCAGTAAATATTTAGAATTAAAAACTTTGATACACCCTTGGAGAAATGAAGCATTAAAATTTTGACTGCAATTTCACAAAATTGAAAATATTTCAAAAACGGCAAGGTTTAAGTGTAATATAAAGTGAAAGTAAAGTAGTTACCGCTCAGTACATAATCAAATTTACCTTTATTTTAATCGTAGAAACTAAAAATGTAATAATATAGAGAGTGTTCCATTTAAAAAAATACAACTTTGATATTTTTTATTTATTTGGGACACTCTGTATCTTGTAAAAATATTTTTAAATTGTAGCTCTAATAGTCCTTCAACAAACCCAAAACTTACAATTTGTAAAAATCTAATCATTTAGCTACAATACTCCGTGTCGTATGTGGTGAACAACCCTGTATAATCATTAATACCGTATGATCGAGAAAAAACGGCGTCAGCGATGGCTATGGAATGAAGATCGCTGTCATTTTATATGTTAATTTATATGGGAAATGTCATCGATGTTCATTTCCCATGCAACTGGACACCATTTTTTTTTTTCGATCATACGGTATATTCTAATAAATGTCTGTTAATTCTCTTAAACCTTAGTTAATAATAAAAAGAAAATATTAAAAATATATTATCTATTTTGTGTGTGAAATGTAAAACTCTGTCAGAAATTGACAACATTTGAAATTGATAAGAACAATAATTGACAAAACACTGATATTCCTGTAAAATTTAAAAAACCTGCGGAAAATTAGCAGAAAGAAAAATATGAAAACAATACTAGTGGAGGAAATAAGTGGGGGAAATAAGTGAAAGAAATGAAATTATAGGTTGAAAAAGGTAGTAAAAGTGCATAATATAACAATAATCTAAAGTAAAAATATTTATTACAGTTGAGGGTTGGAACCTTTGGTGTTAAACAGCAAAATAAAAACACTAAATCACCACAATACACCAAAACACTTTTACTTTTATACTGGACGCGCGTTTCGCTAACCATGTTAGCATCATCAACAGATTATAAACTCAAATATTATAATCATCTGCTGATGATGCTAACATGGTTAGCGAAACGCGCGTCCAGTGTAAAAGTAAAAGTGTTTTGGTGTATTGTGGTGATTTAGTGTTTTTATTTTGCTGTTTAACACCAAAGGTTCCAACCCTCAACTGTAATAAATATTTTTACTTTAGATTATTGTTATATTATGCACTTTTACTACCTTTTTCAACCTATAATTTCATTTCTTTCACTTATTTCCCCCACTTATTTCCTCCACTAGTATTGTTTTCATATTTTTCTTTCTGCTAATTTTCCGCAGGTTTTTTAAATTTTACAGGAATATCAGTGTTTTGTCAATTATTGTTCTTATCAATTTCAAATGTTGTCAATTTCTGACAGAGTTTTACATTTCACACACAAAATAGATAATATATTTTTAATATTTTCTTTTTATTATTAACTAAGGTTTAAGAGAATTAACAGACATTTATTAGAATATACCGTATGATCGAAAAAAAAAAATGGTGTCCAGTTGCATGGGAAATGAACATCGATGACATTTCCCATATAAATTAACATATAAAATGACAGCGATCTTCATTCCATAGCCATCGCTGACGCCGTTTTTTCTCGATCATACGGTATTAATGATTATACAGGGTTGTTCACCACATACGACACGGAGTATTGTAGCTAAATGATTAGATTTTTACAAATTGTAAGTTTTGGGTTTGTTGAAGGACTATTAGAGCTACAATTTAAAAATATTTTTACAAGATACAGAGTGTCCCAAATAATAAAAAATATCAAAGTTGTATTTTTTTAAATGGAACACTCTCTATATTATTACATTTTTAGTTTCTACGATTAAAATAAAGGTAAATTTGATTATGTACTGAGCGGTAACTACTTTACTTTCACTTTATATTACACTTAAACCTTGCCGTTTTTGAAATATTTTCAATTTTGTGAAATTGCAGTCAAAATTTTAATGCTTCATTTCTCCAAGGGTATATCAAAGTTTTTAATTCTAAATATTTACTGAAGTCTATTTAATGATCAGTTATTGTGTTGCAATAATAAAAATAATACTATCTCATACAGAGTGTCTAAAAATTTATTTTAAATTATTTCTAGCTTTAAACGGCAATAACTTGTTTAATTTAAATGGAACGCCCTGTATATTTTAGAAGAATCAAATGCATAATTTAATTGTCTATCAAGTTGTATTATACCACTGTTTACCTATCCCTTCAAGTTTTCGTAGAAAATACATTTTCTTATAATTTAGACCTCATTTATCAATATACCCATGGAATATTGACATTTTAGATTGTTTTTAAAGCAACAAATGTACAAAATGTACAGGCTAGTATTATTATTGTTTTTAGCAAAATGATAATATTACTAACCCATTTGTATGCAAAAATAAAACTATTTAAATCTTTATAAAAGCGTATACCATTAATTAAATATACCACCATTATTTCCGCACAAATACTAATTAATTACATACTTAATTATGTTCGTTAATAAATTATTCTAAATCAATGTGGATTTGAATCAGAAATCAATATAATAATAAGTTATGAAAATGAATGTCTCTGTTGTTATAAATAAGCATTTGTCAAAAAATGAAATATCATTTTTAAGATGTTACTTTTTACCACACTTATTTTATTTTAGTATTTGGAGTAATTATTATTAATCAACGCAAACGGTCAACTAATGT